CACTTCTTTCAAATCGCTGCACGTGGTTTCCTAATCTTGGCTCTAGCCCAATCCCTCACCTGCCCTGTGTTCCTTGCTTAAGCCCCTGGCTCAGCTCCTTGGTCCAGGTGCCAGGGCTGGCTCAGGGCTTGGGTACCATAGGAGGGAGCTGAGCAGGGAAGAAGCTGCGACTGAAGACAATCAGCTGGTGGGCAATAATTGCCTGAGCAGGCAAGTGCCTCTAGGCAGGTGGAGTCAGGCATTGCCCTTATTTTGAAGCAGCTTAGGAAACAGCACTAACCAACCCACTCAAGTCAGGGTCTCTACCTGGTGCAGTTAATTACACCTTTGAAAGCAGAACAGAGTCAGTCAAAAGGAAAAACAGCCCCACTTGCACTTCAGAAAACATGCTAATTAGAGAACTAAAGAATTCCAGGAGAATTGTGAATCCACACCATTTCATGAAGAAAAAGCAGCTGAGCCCATGATCAAATCATGAGCAAGCAGAAGGCATTGAGGGCTCCTTCTCCTTATACACCATGACAACACCCATCTTGCCAGGGAAGCAGAAATGCACTTGGTTTCTGACACCCCAGGGTGTCAGACCAGCTTGTCACCTAGTCCCAGCATGATCAGCACCAAGGTCCCGGGTGAGCCAAGAACTGTTTGACATTGAAGGAATTACAAAACTGCACTGAAGGAAGCTTACAGCTCTGCATGGCCTGCAGAGGAGCTTGAGGAAACCAAGTTTTGGGATCAGGCCTGGTTCTTCAAGGGTGCTTAGATGCTAACCCAAATTGTTTACAATGGAGATATTTGCCTACAGATTTTTCAAGATCTTAGCCCTTTGGGCATTAGACCAGCTAAAAGAGGCTAAGAGAAGTGAAGTCCCTCAAGGCATTCAGGTCAGCTGCATACCAGGTGGGACACCAGGCTCCAGCCCCAGTCTCACGCCAGAGCAGTGGTGGCTCAGGTTGCCTCTGCCTGTTCTGCACTGCAAGGGGAGCCAGTACCCCAGCTGAAGCTTCAGTCCATGAAAAGTGACTGCAAGGGCACAGCAGCACTGTGGGGAAATCCTGAAGATAATCTTTGACCTTTGCTATCTAAGGAGAAAATGCTTCAAGTGGGAATGTGTTTACCATATTAATGCTAAAACAGTTCCATTATAATGACAAGCAAGACATTTCATCAAAATTCTTAGGAGATTTATATCTGCTGTAGCTCTCCTTTGGATGGAAGTTGGATGTAAAACAAGCATATGTTTCTTGTTACAGAGCTGCAAAAAATCCATTGTTTCTGGGTTGACCAATTCAAAATTTAAAGAAATGGGTCTGCCATAACAAACATGATCTTCAGCAATCAAAATGTATTCTTATATTTCACTATCTATTTAATAAAAGAACTCCAAGTGAAGTGCAGGTTCACTTAAAAGTGATGAAAATGAATTCAAGCTAGAACTGTCATCAAGCTGCAAGATTAACAATATAAACTCAGACTCGCTGTTAATTTGACACGCATAATTCAGATGTGCCAAAGATGTTGTGAACTCAAACTGCAAAAACACCTCAGTAATTTATGGAATCTGTACAGAATTTATAGAAAAAAATTACACTGATAAAGATTTCAAAGTCAAGTTAGGAAATGCAAGATGCACCGTTGCCTTGTGCACTGTGATATGACCTTAGATGGCAGGTTTGCTTTTTTCCCAGTAGGAACTCCTCTCTTGCTCAGAAATTCTTTTCAGTTCTCTTCAGTACAGGGCTCAACTTTGCCTTCTGCACTCCGTACGGGCCACAAAGGGATCAGCTTCTGGGTAAGAATTTCTACACTTAACATCAGAGGAAAAAAGATTGTGAAATCTTTTTGAAATCTGTGGAAAACCCCTGTGAATTTGCTCCTGGTAGCACCATTGGTAGTATCCATTGTGTATATGGCTGAATACTGACACATTCACTTAATATTTACAGAACAGCTCTACTGAACCTAGACAGAGATGCAATTACTCTGCACTTCTGCAGATGTAGCCCCAAGCACCATATATAAAGCATTTAGCAAAAGACTTGGTGAGTTACTGTGAACTAAGTGTCTTGCTCAGTGTTTCAGAATAACCTTGTGATGGCAGCAGAAAGAAAACCCAGTTCTCCAAACCAAAATACTCTTTCCTTCACCCTCAGACTATCGTTTCACCTCTGGCAATGTGACCCCCTTTACTGTTACTGAGCTTTTCTTTGAAGTGAGGCAATTTTGCAGATAACAATCTCATGGCTGCACAATCCTGGATCATTCACAGAACAGCACGTAGCCTGCACAGGGAATATGGCAGGATCCCACAGAGAGCTGCCCAGGTGGGATGGAAACATTACAAGGAAATTACAGATCTAAAAATTCCTGATTTTTGTGAGTCCATTGCTTCCCATCCCAGAATTTTTAAGGATAAACGTAAGGATTAAAAAATGGGAATCACACTGACCCTCCAACTTGTCACCAGCAGGATTCAGATCTTTCATACGAGAGAACTCCTGTTTCTTCTGGCTACAGATTAATGGTGGTAGCTCAGTGTGCACAGAGGGGAACACCAGAGGGTGAAATAGGAAATGTCTTCCAAGTTACTCATCTATTAGCCCGTAGCACAAGCATCCAAACCTCACATCACATATTCTAGGTAAGAGTTTAGAGTCTCTAACACAAAGCTGCTACAGCTCCTGTTCCCAGGCACCAGATAGCCCTCTCTCACACCCACCTCCTTCCTCCCTGTTCCTCACTATTTTTAGATTCTTCTAAATGTCTCAAAGAATACGCATCCATCTCCGCCAAAAAAATGACAAACACATTTTCCTTACTAATCTAAGATACAACTAAATAGTATTCACCGAGCTTTTTCAAAATACTTCAACAGGAGACTACTGTACATTATGGCAACTTAAAGTGAAAAATGATCAATCCAAGTCAGAAGGATCTGAAAACACATCTAAATGAAAGCTGTCAAACAACCTCAACCTCGGTGAACAGCCAAGGTCCTAACATGGCTTCCTTTTCTCTCCTTGCCTTTAACTGCTATAAAAATCACTTTGTTAACTTGTGTTGTTCACTTCGGACTCTAAAAATGTTAAATTTCAGTGTAGAGATGTCAGTGATTGCAGCTGTGTTAGGCCAACTGGAGCACAGCTGCTTTGCACTCGACTCAAAGGTCAGACTATTTTTAAGTGTTTGATGACAGCAAAACCCTATTCACTAAAGCAAGTAATTTTTGAGATACTTTTTAACCACATCAATCTTAATTCAAACTAATGGTCAAAGAAACAAGACATTGTCTTTCTACAAAATCCTAGCTTTTGTAGAATTTTGACCAACTCTGCCTTTCAACCTACTTCCATTAGATAATTGTCTTCTAATATTATTATAGCAGATAATGAAATAATTCTAATTCCATTAGACAAATTAAAATAGCCTAATAATTCCATAATTAGAGTGTGAAACTTCAGGACCTATTTGTCTCTTGGAATAAAAATTAGAAAGTTCTCAAAAATCCATCAAATAATGTATGCTTCAATCATATAAGGTTTTACTATAGGAAATGAAAGAAACCTTGCATTCTTAATACAATTTCCCCACAGACTTCTAAGGAATATTGGTGATGTAGGTATTTTTACAGCATTGTGTTTTATCACATTAGGCTGTCAATTTCTGAAATAAGTATTTTGCCCAGGTATCACTGTCGCCATCCTACAGATGTAAACTGAAGCAAGCAAATGAAGGTTAGTAAGAGTGATGAGCAAAGCGTTAAAAGACAGTTTCCATTCTAACTTCTAATCCACTATTGTATTTATCTGGTCACACCAATTAAAAACTACAGACATGGTTTGCTCCTTATTTATGTAACTTTCTTTTTTTCTAAACTGCTCTAGCTTTTGGTCAATGGATTCTTGCTTTTGGCAGACAAGGATCCATAACCAGAAGGAAAAAACAAGCCTTGGTACTATCACACAAGATTATGTACTTCAGAGGGCTATGCGATAGGCTTTGAAATGCAGGTGTAATACCAAAATCTGTCTGATTAACACTACCATTAAACCATGGACCACCAAACTCAAGGTCTTCAGCCAGCAATGGATGGTATTTTCTGGATACAACTGAATTCCTTCTGTTTTTAAGCACAGCCTGATTTCCACGTGTATCTCTAATGTGATTAAGCCTGATAGTTTAAAATACTTGATACCAATCACTGTAAACAACAGCATGCTCCAGGCCATGAAAAAAAAAAAAGGAAGTGACTTATGCTGCTGAAGGCACACCAGCTTACCACTTTTACCCTTTTTTAAAAGGATAAAAAGTCTCAAGAAGCTGAAGCGAAAAAGTCATTGTGGTTTATACGAAACCAGTCTTTTAAGGATTAGCAATATATAAAAAACTAGCACAACATTTCCTGATTCTGTGATTGAGAAATCAGCTATATTTTCCATTATTATAATACATATGTGCTTAGATGCACAGAATATTACATTCTGCTGTCTCGTGATGCCATCGTAACATCAAGCACTGGTCCAGTATTGTTGTCTACAGGGAGAAGTGATGAAGGAAATGAGCACTCTCTCTTTTAATTGAACAGAGCAACAAGTACCAACAGCCTTGCACGTTTCTTACCTAACCCTACAACTGCAAAAAACAGCTGCACTATGAAAAGGGTGAGAATCAAAAAGCTGGAATGAAGACTGCATACCACTAAGCTAATATGTAATGTATATGCTCATAGGAAAGATCTGAACATTAGCTTGTTAACATTTATAAAGAACTCTTCCAAGTAGATTTTATACTTTGACATGTTTATTTTAGTTGGATGAACAGAGTCAATGAACAAGCTGAAACAGTACTCCTCAGCCTCACATTTGCCTCCCTGTGGACTTCTACAACCAAATGTTTAAAAATATCAGAAATATGTAGATATTTGCATGAAGTAGTTCAATAGTTATTTCTTGTTCCATGCTTCTCTTTCAAGTCTTTCACGGATTACTTCTTTTAGGTATGGTTCAAGATAATGCTTATCCTGAAAAAGAAGAGAATACATTTAAACTTATAGGAAGGTCCAGAAGCATCTCCAAGCCATTGCTACAGATTACTTCTCATTTCTCCTCAGATTTGACTAAAACCCAACCTAACAAGAAAAAAAAAAATGAAATCAAACATTACTTACTCTGAAAAGGTAAACTTTGCAGACCTGGCAGATACAATGACAAGTTCTTTACTGCAGCAACCACTAATTCCTAATGCTCTGCCAACAGTAACAAGCAAAGAGATGCTTCCAGCTATACCTTTAGAAACAATGTCCTTTTGGCAGATACCTAAATACACAAGATCCATTTTAATTAGCTCAAAGTCCAACTATAATACTCTGGAGAAGCTAATTTTGAACTTAACTTCTAAACAGCACTGTAAACTTGGATTTGATGTAACACCTTAACTGTGTTTAACACTTATAAACCAAACTGCTGCTGAAGAAATTACACAACCAGTTATTCAATGCAGCAGTTACCTAAATATGATCAATAACACCAAAAGAAACAGCCTCTGTTTCGACAGGGAAAGATAATACCCTTATACTATCCTGTAGGCAAAAGTTCAGTGGTAAGATTCCTCTCTGCCTGGCAATCTGGAGAAAGCAGAGATGCACAGTAAAGCAAAGTCTGTGAATCAATCCACTAAAAAAAAAAGAAAGTTTAATCTTTTTTTCAAATTACAAGACAACAAGATTTCCCTTTCAATTATTCTTCTTTAGCATCTTCACGAATGAAAGTGTCGATTTGAGATTTTCTACAAAATTAAGAAATTAATCAGAAAATCAAGAGACCATTTATAAGAATTTCCAAGCTAGTTAGAGCGTATTCCTTCATCTGACAGCTTAGAAGACATATTTTGTCTGAATACAAACAATGTGCTATGGCTCTGAGCTGAGCTGTAGTTTAAGCTTTCATCATCTCAAACAAAATTTTCCAATTTCCACTGAAAAACAGATTTTTAAACAGTGACCAAAAGCTGTGTTTTCCAGAGGCATCCTATGAGATACACACTCATTTAGTCATTATAGAACATGTAAGCTTGTATCTCTTCAGAGACTGAAAACTACCAAGACCACTCAGTGGTACCATTTAAGACCTCTACCTTGGAAACATTCTGTACACATACCTCTTCATATTTCACCCACTGGTCTTTTGGAAGGATCTGATGTTTCAGGCTTAAGTCTAAAGCTCGCTTTATGCGAAATATTCTTTCATTGTAAAGATGTTCTGGAAGCCTCTTCAGTGCTTCTTTTACATCATCATCTTCATACAAAGTATCATCTCGCATTAATCCTGTACCAAGAAGATTTTACAATATCATGTTTTAAAGTAAGATTTAGAATTAACACAGGTGTTTCTACGTAACATGGGCAAAATAATTCCAGTGCAAAATTATGAAGAAAAACCAAACCAATCCAGGAGAAGAGAACTCACTAATTGCTCACAGAGAACAAACTCTAAACACCGGGTTTCACATACTCTATTTACTTGTTTTTACAAGGAAAAATGGGTATTTAATTCAATGTGTTTCATAGCAGTGTATATATATATAGAGAGAGAACAATAACTACTCTGGATCTGAGGGGTGGGCTCATGCTCATCTAGTTTTGTATCGGTATTTAAGATGACTGTCTAGTTAAAGAGTTTAAGAGCTCTGAATCCATTAGAGTCCGTCAACCACAAAGGTGACTTCTTCAGTACTGAAGAATTATTCTCCAAACTCCACTGTGCATAATGACTAGACCTCCACTGACTATATTAAGCTATATAAACCTGAAGCTAGGTGTTTGTGCACGAGCTGGTTCCCTCCAACACCATCCCAAATCAGTAGTTAAATCAGGGAGAAGTAACTACTCTTCTCAAAGCCAAGAACATCCTCACAGTGTTTGTGGAACAAAGGATTCCTGAAATTCAACCAACTCTGCTTTAAGTTTCAGTATTAACAGCATAGGGCGAAGCGCTGGTTCTGTAGCATTCCACGACTGCTGCAGATTACCAGAGTACACCCACTGCCTTGTGGTTAAAGGTTTTGACCTCACCCGACTGAGTTGGCAACAGTCTCCCAATAAAACAGAAATTTCTTTTGAGCCACATACAAACTTGAATTCAAGTTTGTAACTTATGTCAAAGGCACAAGGAAAATGGCTGCTAGCTTAATCAACAGATTAAATTTAGTGTTTCTCCTCAGTTTTCAGTCACATACCCAGAAAAGCAGGAAAAAGTATTAATGCCTTTAAGAATTTCAGTAGACAGCTATAAAAAGAGGGGCTAAACACTGCATCTCTAGAGGAAAGACCTAAGCTTGTTCCTGTACAGTTGTCTTGCAATTTTCTTCTCTAACTTCCCTAGGGCAGGTATGTTAACTTCCTTTAAATGATTCGTTCATATTGCAGTCAGCAATAAATTACAGCCTCTGAACACTCAGATTCTCTCGTCATTCGAGAACAGTTCTGTCATCTAAATAGTTAAAACAAACTTGGTAACAACTCTGAACAAATTGAAGACAATACCATCAAGGGCAATCTCCTCTACTTAAGGAAATACTATTTTTACACCTACTTCACCACTGCACAGGCCAGAGAAACACCAAGTTATGGTGATATAAAGGGCAGAACTAACTAAATCCTTTTTTGCACTTGGGATACTTTGCGTAAGTATCGCAGACTGCTATCAGTGGGAACCTCTCCAGCTTCATGGGCAGCCTTTGGGTTAGAAGTTACTGGCCAGTGCAAGTGACTTGGTGGGAAACGAGAAATAATAAAGCTTCCAGGACTCCTTTGTGAAAGTGTTTTCAACTGCTTCAGCTTAACATTAGCTTTTGTAAGTTATTTCACTGAAAACAAAGGCAAACACAGAAACAACAGAAAAGTTCATTACTAGGAAGAAATCATGACGCCTGAAACTATTGCTAGCTTTTCCCCCACAAAAGCAGTAGCTAATTTTAACCAAAAAGACAACTGCACATACATACATCAGTTATGAACCATAACTAGTTTGAGGATGGTTACGTTTGCAGAGATTCCAAAACTCAATGAAGCACTTACCGAGTTTGTTGAATCCAGCTGCGTTGTAGTACCACTTGCGAACCCTGTCTAACAGGCGACCGCCTCCTGCAACTGAATGCGACCGTCGTCAGTTGCAGAGCAAGATAAAATCCAGCATTTACACTCTACTGTGACAGTACACAAGTATTTGCTGGCCTCCTTCACATGCAGTAAAGCAACACTATGTGAGGTTTGAACATATATGACTTGCCCTCTCTGCTTTTCAGTAACCCTTACCTGGCACTGGACAGGCAGAATGAGTGCTTGCTACGTGACCTTTGTTTCACTATATTTGAACATTAGATTGCTTCAAGACTTGGAACAATGCTAACAGTTCATTGTCAAGAACAGCACCAATGCTTTTAGGCTCCATAACTCTTGCTTGAGTTAAAAGCATAACATTCTACATAAAGCAAAACCACTACGCTTTTCAAATAATTTATCAAAGTTCCACAGCTCTCACTATGGGCTAATTCAACTTCAAGGCCAGCATATTATTATGCTGTTAACCTTCTGCTCTCCTCTCCAGTTACTTAAATGCTATTCCAGAGCCTTCTTTTTCAAAGAGCTGCCAAAGTCAACTGGAAAGTCAACACTGAAACCTCAAAAAAAAGTTAATTGACTTTAAAAGAAAAAAAATAAAACACATCACATGTAGAATGCTCATCTTTCCTTGACTGTAATTGTGGATAGCAACAAAAGTAGTGTATGTGCAATCAAGTTCAGTGCAGTACCAAAGACCATTAAAGTGACTGAACCAGGGGTCTAGAAATCCAGAAACAGCACAACACAGGCAATGCTGCCAGGGCAAGCCATCTTTCATGACTTTAAGCCATTTATGACTAAATCACCCCACAAAAGCAGTGCTACGTGTGACACCAGTGGGCCACTGGCCCACCACCTCATCAGGCCTTATTCCTTGGTCCATTGAACCAACGAAGGCTGCAGTCACTCTCCGGGCAGGGCAGCGGTCCCCGGGGCCCCTCCAGAGAAGCCCACGGGCTCCGCCACTGCTCCTCGGGCCTCTCAGTACCGCAGCCAGGCTCCCTCCGCTGAGG